TGGTGTGGAAGAGTTTTCTTGGCAATCAACCAATAGATAGATCTACCTTCTGCCCACCTCTGATGTATATAATTGAAATGTATTTTGGTTCCCAGGAATAAAAATGGAGTATTTATTCATTTTATTTTATTTAACAATGCTTATATACCTCTTGATTGTAAGTCAATCCTCTAAGTGGTTTACAAGAAATAATCTCCAAATGAATAGTTCAAAACTTCACCAAAACTTTACCCTAAAAGAAGCTTAATATTGGGCAGCAAAAATTAAAATGGCAATCAAGTTGCAGCTTCTGATTTTTAGCTGCATATTGCTTTTATTGCCTGTTACTAAAATATTGAGTTTGTCTCAAATCTGCGGAATTGCCCTCATTATTTTAAAGATGAAACTGCTGCATGAGCAAGTCAGGCTTTGTCACTGAATGGACACCCACTGTTTTGCCGTGGCTTTAGCTTAATTAAATGAGATGGCAAACATATCTGAGCTGTACAGCTTCAAAATACAGGGGCAGCACACAAAACCCAATGCTTCCCCCCCCCAAAGAACATATTGTACATAGAAAAAAAATATAATGGAAGCTAAAGCCCTTCTCTCTTACGTTTAGGTTCCTCATGTGCACCCTCTGTATGCGTCCATTTGTATGGACGTTTTTTAAAATCTGAAAGGAACTTAAGTTCCACACAGCGGAAATAGGAAGCAGATTATTGATCATTTCTGGGAAACTTGATGTGCAGACAGCCTTGTGCTATTTTCACTGTCAGATCATAGAGATTCGTGTTTATAAAAATGTTTCATTGCTAGCCATTGGCTGTATTAGTTTTACATTAACTTTAAATTGTGATTTTCACAGGCTTTATAGAATTGTCTGTACATCACTTTGGGAGCAGTTGCTAAAAAGTGCCCTAGAAAACTTGCAAATAAAACAGATCTGGTACAGACATGCCCTGAGGCCTCCACTATCAGCCTCTGCATCTTACTCCTTGCCTCTTGAGAAGGTGCTTTCTCCATTATGCCCTCCCCGGTTACAAATTAAACTCTTTATATGATCATAGAGAGATATTGGCCGTCATTCAGCAGGTCTTGTAAGTTATATTCTTAGCAGAAACTCTGCATTTAGAGGGTTTCTTCGGTGCTCTGTTTCTTCTTTGTTGTAGTGGTCCTGAGAAACATTAAACTGCTTTTGAATACGTCTCCAGTTTTTCCCTCCTTTTTTAAAGATCTGAAGTTTGTGGGCAGAAGAGGCTATTATGATATATATATAAAAACCATAGCATGTCTTCAGATACTGCTGCAGGCTGTGGCCAGCATATCATACATTTTAAAGGTTCTCCCAACTTTGGCTTAGATTAGCCTCTTGGTAGTCTCAGAAGTGGGACGCGGGTGGCACTGTGGGTTAAACCACAGAGCCTGGGACTTGCTGATCAGAAGGTCAGTGGTTCAAATCCCCGCAACAGGGTGAGTTCCCATTGCTCCGTTCCTGCTCCTGCCAAACTAGCAGTTCAAAAGCACACAGTGCAAGTAGATAAATAGGTACCACTCTGGAGGGAAGGTAAACGGCGTTTCCGTGCACTGCTCTGGTTCGCCAGAAGCGGCTTAGTCATGCTGGCCACATGACCTGGAAGCTGTATGCTGGCTCCCTTGGCCAATAAAGCGAGATGAGCGCCACAACTCCAGAGTCGTCCGCGACTGGACCTAATGGTCAGGGGTCCCTTTACCTTTTCCTAGCCTCAGAAGTGCCCATCTCAGTAAGCAATTCATTTCATCCTTTTGCCTTTGAAGAATGTAGTCTAACAAAACAAAAGCCAGGTCCCTTACGCCTTGCTTGAGAAGGTGCAGTAGCAGCAGTGTGACTGAGAAGGTGGGATGTTTATCCAGTTAAAAAGAGCATTGCATCTTTTCAACTGAAATTACGGCATTAAACCTGTATGAAGTCTCTAAACTCAATTTGTACTTTGAACTTTTTAAAACTGAATTGTATCTAAGTATACAATGCCATTGCATCCAGGGTGCAGCTGGGCATAAAAGAGATGGCTGTGGACAGAGGTAACTTCCTTCCTTAGCCAAAACCACCACACAGCACCCTTCAGAAACTATAGTTCCCAGGATTCTGGGGGGGGGGGGCGCTTAAAAACGTGTGGTGTGTGCACAGTCTTGAGCAGGGATCAGCAACCTTTTTCAGCCATGGGCTGGTCCACCATCCCTCAGACCATGTGGTGGGCTGGACTATATTTTTTTTTGGGTGGGAATGAATGAATTCCTTGCCCCATAAATAACCCAGAGATGCATTTTAAATAAAAGCACACATACTACTCATGCAAAACCATGCTGATTCCTGGACCATCCGCGGGCCAGATTGAGAAGGCGATCTGATCTTCAGTCTCATGTACGCTCTTCCATTCCCTTTCCACAAGAGTCCTGGTACTTAAAGGGAGCAGCACACCAGGAAACATCCACTCTCAAATGTAACATTCAACGTGTACTGCAAGCTGCCAGCTACACAGTTTTGGTTCAGGCCTCCTTTTCAAGGAATGCAAATGCAGGGTGTATTCAGTCCTCCCTACAAGACTAATATTGCAGCCCAGAGTCTCACTAGCTACGTTTGATTGGTGTATTGGCAGCTTAAGTGAAAATGCTGAGAATTTTATCCCCTGAACCCTTTTATTTTCCATTCTCTCCAACCCATGGAGACAGCCCCCCCCTTAAATCGGCTTGGTTTTCTTTTTCACTTTGCTCTCCCGGTTTTATATAAGAAACAAAGTAGGAAGTTGGAGATTTTAAACCCATGCCTGGCTAATGTTACCTGCCAAAAACTGGAAATGTTTCAAATTATAGTCTGGTTTGTTGTCACTTTTGTCAGCTCATTATATAGCTTGGACCATTTTTGCAATATTGGAAGGTCAGCAGCAGCAGCTTGGCTGAGTTCTGATGTATACTTTGTACATTTAACATGTTCTTTTGGGGTTGTTATTGTTCAGCATCATTAAATCTCTTAAAAATGTTGATCTTTCTTAAAGCTGTTTGTGAGCGGGGAAAGGAAATTAATCTAAGTTAGCTGCAAAATGCAGAGAAGTCTCCTTTATTTTGCTTTCCAGTTTTCTGAGTCTCACGTTATTGTCACAAAGGCAGCCTGAAGCCGCGTGTTCTTTTGCCTTTATTAGCTCTCAGCCTTGCCCCCTGATGGCCCCTGTCAGATGCAGGACTTCATTATGTGCAACGAAACTCCTTTAATTGTCTCTTTCATCATACGCTGTACATAAGGGCAAGAAATGTTTTTAATCAAAACTTCTGCAGCGAAATAATTTGGGGAGGAAACATCTTGATGGAAAGGAAAGTTCAGAAATAATAAGGCTTTTGTTGTTTGCTTGATTGCACAGTAATGGCTCCGAGTTCCAGTTTTGCTGACTTGTCTGCAAATGCGCCTCTCTTTTTTTCCCTTTCTCCTGGTGAATTATAACTTAGCAGAAGCTAATATTCACTGGCGTGTTTGGAGCTTTTAAACCTGGTCTGAAATGCCATTTTCCAGCGTTGCTTTACATTTGCAGGTAGCAGAAGGGAAAGGGAACATTTCAGCAATTTTGAGGGGTGGGGACCGCCATCAAGCTTCTGAAACGATGCAACATCATGATGTAAAAACCATCCAGCTTAATGGGGCGTGGTGGATGGCAACACACTGAGAGATTGAGTTTGAGCACCACAAGAACACATGCAAAAAACAACATCCTTCCCATCACTCCTAAGCTAAGCCTTGAAAATCTCAAGCAGTCTTCCTGGTCCCCTAGAAGCTTACCAAAATGGTGCTTCACTTGTACAGCCTGCAAATAAGAACATAAGAAGAGCCAGCAGGATTAGGCCATTGACGCCTCTAGCCCCACAAGCTGTTCTCACAGCGACCAACCAGGTGCCTTTGAGAAACTAGCAAGCAGGATTTGAGCACGCCTCCTGCGGTATTCAGCCACTGGTATTCAGAAGCATTTCTGTCTCCAACCTGTGGAGGGAGAGCATAGCCACCGTAGGTAGCAGCTGCAAAAGTCAGGTAGCATTTTTATTTTATTTTTTTGTCTCGGGTGATCTATTCACATAAGAACATGGGAAATCGCCTTAGACCATTGGTCCATTTAGCTCTGTATCGTCTACACTGGCTGGCTACAATACTTCCCTAATTTGTGCAAACTTCCTCCGATTTTGACAACTCACGGAGATGTGGGAAAATAAGTACAGTGGTACCTTGGGTTACGGATGCTTCAGGTTACAGACACCTGTACCTCGGGTACAGAAATAGTACCTCGTCCTTTGCTTCAGGATGAGAACAGAAATCGCGTGGTGGCAGCATGGCGGCAGCAGGAGGCCTCATTAGCTTAAGTGGTACCTCAGGTTAAGAACGGTTTCAGGTTAAGAACGGACCTCCAGAACAAATTAAGTTCTTAACCCGAGGTACCACTGTATGCAGAAATGTTTTCAAACATGAGCTACAGAGTTCAGCATCATTTCTCTCCCTCAGCCCAGGTTAGGATGCCTGGGATTTCTGGACCTAGGTAACATGTTCCCTTCTTCTCTCCTCTGCAACCTGCCTAATGGCAGAGCTGGTCCTGGTTGGCCAGAAACCAGTTCCTGAAGCTAGCTATGTGGTGTGAAATAGCAGGGGGTGGAGAGATGATCCCCCTGTGATCTCTGGTAATATACCTGGCTGGCTTTTTTGCAATATAGCTTGGAGTATTGCAGACATCTCTCTTTTCATGGAGAAACTATTTGATGCTATACCATCAACTAGCCTTCCTAATACTGCTGAATATGTAACTGTTTGACCTGTGCTGATAACATAATAAAATGGGAGAGTGCCAGACGTTTGGGTGAGTCTCACTTGATGACTCAGTTTTGACATTTGCAAATTATATATTTCACTTTTGCTTTTTTAAGTTGTGATGGTTACACTCCATGTGATAAGCTCAGCATTGTATACCGATGAGCTATTCAAGTTACGTCTAGAAAGCTGCTCCCAATCAATATAATATTTCAGACTAGATAACCTGTCAGTCAAAAGTGCCGAAAGTCCCACAAGCTTTGATGTGCTGGATTCTCTGGAAAGATGGTTTATTGATTGCCAGTAAATCAAGGGAATGCTTTCGCATGGAAAATTTAAAGCCCTTTATTAAATATCGCTTTTAAAATCAAAGGCGAGGATTATTTTATTTTTAAATTGCGTACACTTATTCATCAACAATACCAGAGGAAGTAATAATCCATTTAACAACAGAACACAGACTAAGGTACAGTTATATACCGGTAGCTTTACCAAAGTGCCCCAAAGAGACTTGAATGGTCCATTTTTAAGAAGGGGAAAAAAGCATTGTGGCATTTGTGTCACTTGAGTGATGTTAGAATGCATGAAGACAGATTGCACACTTTCCCCTTTAACCTTTTTATTCATTCAAACAGAGCTGGGAAAGACTTCCTGCCAGAAACCCTAGAGAACCACTGCCACTCAAAGTGGACAACACTGACCTGGATGGACCAATGGTCTGGCAGTATAAGGCAGCTTCCTATTTTTCTAAGCTAAATTCTAAATCACGCACGATTTTTGTATACCGTATTTTTCGCCCTATAGTACTCACTTTTCCCCCTCCAAAAATGAAGGGGAAATGTGTGTGCGTCCTATGGGGTGAATGCAGGCTTTCGCTGAAGCCTGGAGAGCGAGAGGCGTCGGTGCTCCAGAGGACGCCCCGTGCTTCGCGCAGGTGTCCGCAAGCCTTGCGCGCCTGGGGGGAGTTCCCGCTGGTTCGCAAGGCTTGAGGGCGGCAGCCTGTTCTGGGGGCTGGGGTCGGGGGAAGCTCGGGCTTCCCCCGCCCCAGCCCCATGGCTGGAGGGGGGAATATTTTTTTTTTATTCATTTCCCCCCCAAAAAACGAGGTCCGTCCTATGGGCCAGTGCGTCCTATAGGGTGAAAAATACGGTACTTTTAAAAATTCTGCTTTCTCCTTTCGTTAAGGCTAGATCTTTGTTTTGGTTTTGTTTAATGTTTAAGGTGTCATCTTTTTAGCCCCTTGTGAAGAGACTCACAATGCTCTTTGTGTTTCAGTGGTATCATCCAAATTTGGTGGCAAGTGTTCAGATATTATTTCATTGTCTGAGAGTTTATGCAATCGATAATATTTTTGCTGGGTTGTGGCACTTACCTCAGGCGGGGGGGGGGTGCATATTACATATTCCCCCTGGAATCGAGGGTGCAATGAGATTAAGGGCCACTATCTGAACGATAATCTTGGTCATTTGATTGTCCTTTTTACCCATTGTTGTCTCTTTTTTTTTTTTGTATATATTGCTTGTTTTATGTTGCTATGGCCATTGGCTAATGCGAATAAAGTTTATCTTATCTATCGAGTTCCCCCTGGAAACAAACTCCCTGGACTTCAAACAAACAAACAAACAAAAACAAACAAAAGCAAGCAAACAAACAAACAAACCTATCAAGGGGAAATGTCAAACCCAGCCTTCTCTGATGTGCTTTTCCAGTGCACATAAGTTTGAATCCAGACTTGGGTAGTCACTTACTAAGCAGTGCACCTCTTGTCTGGAAAAAGCCAGTCAGGGTTATCGGGAAGAGACTTTGGGGCCAGGGTTGGTGGGGCTGTTGAGGATCCATCTGCAGCCTGGTAGGGGCTAGTTTGGCTATTTAGCAGGCAGGGCAGCTTGGAACAAACGGAACTGATGCAGACATAAATCTCAACCTCAGTCATGTAGGGCTGTTTGACTGTTTCATACAACTTGAAAGTAAAAGCAGAGAAGATGGTCCAATGCCAAATGTATTCAGTGAACCACAAGCAGCATCCTTAGGCTGCCTATGGCTACTGATGCCACTGTGGCTTCCTTTATATATTTGGTCTATGTGAATACTGTAGTTACAAGTGCAATCCAGAGCATGTTCTGCTTCAAGAAACTTTTTTGTCATGCCTGAGTGCTAATTCATTAAGTTAAATAGTGCCAATAGTGGTAGCCATTGGCATTTTTGCTGGAAGGATCCAATTAGAGAGTTGCACCCAATGGGTAGATTGCATAGAGGGCTCCAATGTTAGCGCCATCCTCCTTTTATGATCCATTTTGTGACGCTCAAGCGTTGCACGGAAGCTAATATTGTGCTGATAAACCTCTGGCTCTGATTCTTAGAGAAGTCAGTATGGGAAGTGTAGCTAAAAGAGGCTTAATGCCATTGATCTCAGGATTGCACGGCACAGTATTAAAGTCACTGGCCAAATGATGCTGAGTACAGTGGTGCCTCGCAAGACGAAAAGAATCCGTTCCGCGAGTCTCTTCGTCTTGCGGGTTTTTTCGTCTTGCGAAGCAAGCCCATTAGCGGTTTAGCGGATTAGCGCTACAGTATTAGCGGCTTAGCGGGCTTAGCGGATCAGCTGATAAGCGGCTTAGTGATCAGCTGTTAAGCGGCTTAGCGATCAGCTGATAAGCGGCTTAGCGATCAGCTGTTAAGCGGCTTAGCCGATCAGCTGATAAGCGGTTTAGCGGCTTGGGAAAAAGGAAAAAAACCCTGCAGGAACTCGCAAGACATTTTCGTCTTGCGAAGCAAGCACATAGGAAATTCGTTTTGCGAAGCACCTCCAAAACGGAAAATCCTTTCGTCTAGCGGGTTTTCCGTCTTGCGAGGCATTTGTCTTGCGGGGCACCACTGTACTCACAGGGCCCAATGCTTATGGTCATCTCGGTACAGTAAGTACGACATCCCAAAGCCCTCTTGGGCATCACCTAAAAGGCGCCTAGAAAGGAAAACCATTAAAATCCAATTGTAGTTCTACAATGTGAATATCACTTCAGAATAACTTTTAACTTTCAATGGCTTGGAAAGAGTAACTGCTTTAAACTAGTGGCCTGAAGGTAGATAAAGCTCCATATCCCATTTGCTGGCCATAGCAGAAGTTCTTACTGTGACCTGCAAATCCTCTGTATTTAAGTGTGACCAATCGTTCAGTAACAAAAGTATGGCCATCAGTTTGTCAACTCAATAACAAGATGTCTTGCCCTCATTTCAACTAAGACAAGTTTTTATTTTTCAACAAAGCAAATAGCCTTCATTTTAATCACAGGTGCCACCTACCACCTTGAATACATTGGCCTTGCAATAATAGTAATGGGAACAATCTATCAGGACCTTCTCCTGCAAGGAACTTTTTGAAATGGACATAAGCAACCAAGCGCAAAAATGGTTTCTATTGCACTCACATTCATTTCAATATAGCTTGTGTATCAGAAATTCCTAATGGGTTGTACACCAGATGTGTCTTTGCTTTAAAAAAAGAAAAGAAACCTCTCTAAAACATAAAAATATTTATCACAGGTGCCTGTGATAGCTTGAAGTTAATCTAGGGCTGTACTACCCCTCCTATTATTGCTCTATGACCAGACTTTCTGGAAACTGGAGGTATATACACAGTGGCTTACTAGCTTCTGACAGACCTAGAGTCTACCATTCATCCTTCAAGTTCCCCTTTCAGATGGCTAGGTCTTAAACAAGCTCTCTAGAAACCACAAGTGCAGTTAATTTCCATTATCATAAACAGGAAGATAAAAGAGCCTTAGAATCATCTCTGGTTTGCTTTAGGTAGCACAAGAAATCTCGAAATCAGGAACATCAGGAGTCCATTTGGAGTTGACTTCATCAATCTCACCTATATTTTGGTTATTAGGTGATGGGCTGCATACACACCATCCATCTGAAGCACATTTAAAACACATTACATCCACCAGAGAATTGTGGGAACTGTAGTTTGTTAGGGCTGGTAGGAATTATAGCTCTGTGAGGCACTACTGTTCCCAGAATTCTTTGGGGGAAGCCATGTACTTTAAATGTGACCTTTTTTTTGTCAGCAGAGGCCAATCTAGGGAAGAATCAAATTACCATTGTTCAAGAATAGTCTCTAAGCTCTTTTTTCTGTCCCAAAATTGCTGTATCTCTCTTAAGTCAGTCAGAAAAAGCAGACTTTTCATAGTTATTGTCCACCGACAGCATCTGCATCAACAAAAAGACAGACCCACAGCATCAAAGGAGTTTGATGCAAGCAAGAAGTCGCTCCACTGGCCCTGAAAGCTTGTCTGGAATCGATACAGCCTGCATTGATCCTTCGCCTTATAAGACGATATCCGAAGCTTGCGAGAAGAAAGTTGTTAAGGTTGCTTAATTGATATTAATGTAACATCTCAGTGGTGTTGGACTAACCACATGCAGATGCCTGTGAGATTTTCACAGACTGTGGACTAATTATATGTGTCTCCTGTTGTTGCCAATCTTCTAAATGTTAGCACAACACTGCTAATAAACAAAGGACACATCTGACATGTTTGTCATCAGCTTGTTCTTCAAATACCTGAAAGGCTGTCACAAAGATATAGGACCAAGAGCGTAGGAAGCAGCCTTCTACTGAATCAGATCATTGGTCCATCTAATTCAGTACTGTCTGCACCAAATGGCAGCAACTCTTCTGGATTCCAAAGAAGGGATATTTCCTAGTACTTCCTGGAGACACCAGGGACCTTCTGAATGCAAAGTAGAGACTTTTTCATTGAGCTACGGTCCTCCCTCATCTAATGGGCTTAAGATACAGGTGGGTGGGTTTCTATTGAACCTTAGGAGCAATTTTTGGATGGTAAGAGCGGTTCAACCATTACCTAGGGGGGTGTTGGAGGCCTTTAGGCAGATGCTAGACATCTATTGCTTGGGTGTTCTCTAGCTCTGGATTTCCTACACTGAGCAGGGGGTTGGAGTAGATGGCAGTCAAGACCCCTTCCAACTCTACATTAGTGGCCAAAATTGTGGAAACCTTTTGGGAAAAGTGTATTTCTGAGGTTTGATGGCTCATAATACTACTTTTTTTTGGAGTAATACCATAAAATTATATCTCAATGGAAAAAATTAAATAAAGAATGTAATGCAATTATCTGTACAGTGGTACCTCGTGTTGCGAACCGTCCCCCTTACGAATTCTTCCTGTTACGCGCTCCACTAACCCAGAAGTAGATGTCCCTTCTTGTGAACTTTGCCCCAGGATGCGAGAGGAAATCACGCTCCAACGGCGTGGCAGCAGTAGGAGGCACCATTAGGGAAAGCGTGCCTCATGTTACGAGCGGTTTCCGGTTACGAACGGACCTCCGGAACGGATTCAGTTCGCAACCGGAGGTACCACTGTATTATATAAAAAGGTATAGCCAAATAACCAGAAAAAGGAAACACAACTTGCTTAGGTTGCTTTCCTTCATTTGAATGTAGCCAATGAGTATGAGTGTTTAGAGAGCCAATCAGGTGTTATGAGCCATCAAACCTCAGAAATACGCTTTTCCCAAAAGGTTTCCACAATTTTGGCCACTTGTGTATGATTCTAAGTTCAGCCTATGATCAGCCATTAGTTGCACTCTTAACATTGCTGTGCATCCCATAGGTTATCGAAAAGTTGTCACTACATGTTTTCTATTGCTTGCCAGTTCCAGGGTGTTCCTTACCACACCCCATGTGTTTCTTGCCACACTTCCCACTTCTATCCCTAATAGGGATAGTTATTTTTGGTCTACCATATGTGGTCTTTTGTGTAACCCTCCTGACAGCTTTAACCATTTATTTGAAAGCAGAACAATTCTTGGCCCCAAACCTTTAAAAGAATTTCTGAACATGGATCTAAGTTCTGTGCCAGAGAAGAACCTCACAGTCCTTTGCTATGGATTTGCAGTTATGTCTAGAGGCGAACAGGGCTTCCTCATGGCCATCTGCTTAGTTTATGAACAATAGCTCAGTCCTTCTGAATGCTCAGCCAATCCAGACCCAATCAGGATAAGGGTCGTGACTCCCAAACTGAAGAGAAAAGCTTGCAGAGCTTTGCTTCCTGTTTCACCAAAGACATAAATTTACTCAGTGCTAAACTTCACCAGACCCATAAAAATTTGATGGGTCACAGAGAATCCAAACTTTATTTTGAAGGCCAAAAGAGATGGAAAACATACCACTCTCAACGCCATCCAATCCCACATGATTTGTTGGCTGGCTGATCTCTTTCTTTAAAAATTCCCATAATAATTCCACTTACGACTCTGAATGGAATTTCCAGTTAACAAAGGTCTTTGTGAGGATGATCCATGCAGACCAAGGCCAACTGAATTACTGTAATACTGAGCGCATTTAATTCTCAGAAATAGTGGCTCCAGTATAGCTTTCACCTAAGCAGAACCCTTTACATGGGAACATAGGAAGCTGCCTTATAATGAGTCAGGTAGACAAACCAGAGGAAGAAGCCCTTCAACAACACAAG